ATAAAATTAAAAAAAACCATTGGTAGAATTAAAAGTTTGCGTTGGTTCTTTTTGGTAGAAAGTCTTTAGAATTTAAAATAAAATTTCGCCTACTATCAATTCAAAAGTTAAACGCTCCCTACTTTTAAAAGTTCAAACTTTCAAAACGAATTGTACTTTTGTCAAAACAAAAGCATGGCAGTGTTGGAATAAAAAGTGGATTATTTTAAATTCAAAACAAATTTTTATCATGAAAGTGTGGTCTAATTGAAACGATCTTTTTCACTTTGAATTGAACAATTAAAATATTTTTATTTTAAATACCAGCATTGTCAGTATGACATGTAGAGTTTTTTTTATTATTCAATTTTATATATATTATTTTTATTATGATATCAAATCATGGTTCGTGATGAACTGATGAACTCAGACAGTATGTATCAACGGTTTTGGATCGTTAGATATCATGCATTTGGCACACTGTAAGCATTGCTTTTATCTCTGCCAGTAGTCTCCAGGCCAGCTCCCAGGTTTCCTTGAAGATTGATAATCCTTGTAACCTGTGAACATGTTGAAGGGTCTATAATTCAAAATCATTGAGAAAATAGATTACACCTACAGTAAATATGATGCACATTGTACAGTCCGAGGAACAGTTAAATCTGGGAAACGAATCCGGCAAAGGCCTCGGGCTTCGCATTTATTTTGGCAGTAATTGATTGCTCAAGTTCAATCGGTGCGGCACTCGATCGTGGTATCTTGGGATAATATGAACGGTTCCAGGCCAAGTTTTGCCAGCAGATGGTGCGAACCAAGAAACGTTCATTTTGGGTCGTTTTGAGGTAATACTGTAAACAGCGAAAGTAGTAAGCATTTATAAAGGTTGTTTAAAAATATAAAAAAACACTTACTGGATCGTCGAGTAGGGCCTATTTGATTTGATCCAACATTTCAAAACCATTCACGGAAATCTAAAACCGGAAGCCAATTTTAGGGACGGGCAGAATCTATGTTTGGGAAGTGGATTGATATGACACTACTGCTGCTGCTTCTGTTTTGTTTTGCATGTTTTATCTTAAAATTTAGCGGCAAAATTTCAGTGCTGCCAAAAGTGTTGGTGTTTAGAGGTATTTTTGACAGTAAACCAATTTTCATTTTAAAAAAATGCACTTTTAAAATTACGAGTCATAAATGAACGAAAAACTTTCAAACCCTCGTTCAAACCAAAAAAATAGCATTCGTTTTGAAAATATTCGTTGTTGAAACTATGAAGTTTGAGGAATTTTCAATTTGAAAGTGAATTATTTTTATTAGAACAATTTTTGTTCTTTGTGTGTACGGATACCAGACACAAACGATATCATAGATGGTACGACCATACCGCATAGAGTTGTGATGATCTCGGTGATGATATCCTGAATTGGTGGTTAGGCGTTTCTTATGTTTATGCGGGATATATACCAAACACTAACGAATACTAATTGAGCAGGAAAGGAGGCGATGGAGCACAAACAAATGACAGCGTCGATGGCAGTGCAGGTTGCTATGATTTTCATCCAAAATTAAGTTAAAACTACCCAACGGTGAAAACATAACGGTTGAGTACTATATTCTTATATTCCGTATATTATACTAAAAATTGAGTTCTTTTTTACTTTGAATCGCAGCGTGTTTTAGTTAAACGGAATGTATCGATAAATATTTCAGGATATTCTTCGTAAATTACTTTACGCAATACAATTTACTAACATGTACATTTTAAACAACTACGGAAAGTACTAATTTAATCAATAATGACAAATACTACGTTTTGAGCTAAACGATGATTAACAGAAAATTAACTTAAATTTGAGTTCATCTTTTATTACTCAATAGATGAGTAAATTTGACTTTTCTGATCCACTCAACGGTAGACCTCAAATGATAGAACCCAACGGTGAGTTTTTTAAACCAAATTTTGAGTATTTTTTTTCTTACCGTGTACCTATTGAACTGTCAAACCGGCTACCTATCGTACAAAGTAAACAAACATTACGATGCTACGAAAGGTCCACGAAAGGTATTGCAATAAAATATAATCGAAGAAATAATCAAAACCATGCGGTAAGCTTTAAATAGTCATGGAATACGGTTGGTAATGATCAGTGAACTCTCGTGTTTATTTCAGTTACCATGGAGACGTAATTTGTGATTAGCCCCGGTCCCTTTCAAATTGTATCATTATTTATGAACGGCCTTTTATTTGAAATGACGTTTCACATTCATCTAGTGATGTCCGACTTTCATTCGAATAATCGTTTAATCGATTAACGAACCGAAAAGTAAACTATTTATAATCGGTTAGATCATGCCGATATAAGCATTAACATCTCCACAGGATCATCACCGATCGTTTCAAACATGTGCTGCACTCTCATTGGTGGAAAAATTGCAGCACAGCGAACAAAAAATAATCGATTAGTTGTTAATCGAGTAATTAAAAAATGCGACATCTCTGATTTTGGTTTGATTGTTTTGATAAAAATGAGCGCAAAATTTCATCTCTTCCGAGGGGGCAGCAAAACCACAAAATTACCATGAATACGGGGGGTTCTCATTGGATGAAAGGGACCGTGAAAGAAGACACTAAAATAGAAAGTTTTTCTTCCGACAGTTTCATCTTAGTATTCTCGATGAACATTTCAAATGGTCCTATCTGCTTTGATCGATTCTCTTCATCGACTTTCTCTTTTAATAACCAGTGCTATGCAAACAGATTTCGCGCTAATTCTACCCCATAGTTTGATAAAGGAGGTTCTTATCTAGCGTCCAAAACGTCAAATACAACAGGGAAAGGTTTTGCAGCAGAGTTATTGACGAAAGAGAAAATCGATGAAGAGAATCGATCAAAGCAGATAGGACCATTTGAAATGTTCATCGAGTATTCATCTTTGGTTCACCGGTTGCTACAGCCGCTATTTTTTTTCTCGCTAGAAGTCATTTGAAGTTGATGTAGAAGTCCTCTGTTGCCAAGTGAAAAGAAAGGGAATCTTACGTAAACAGTGATGCGAGTTCAACTGTTTTTTCTCTTGGCGTGACTCATTTTACACCGACTCTAATTAATCCTATACGTTTGACAGTAGGCAACATCTCGGGCCTTATTTAAATACGGCCCGCCTGACGTAAAAGTCGGTGGAAAGGGACGAAAAATCGTGTTATTAGCAGAAAGACAAGGGATCATCCATTAATTATGTCACACTTTTAGGGGAGGGGGGGGGGTTTTGAAAACTGTGACGAGCCTTACAAAAAACAATTTAGGTCCATATAAAAAATGTGACAAAGGGGGGAGGGGGGGTTGAAAATGGGCCAAATTTGCGTGACATACTTAATGGACCTTCCCCAAGAGCAGATGATAGCATCTAAAACATGGCCGCTAGCCAGGCCCCTGGAGTTGACGTATCCAAACGAACTGTCAAATGGTATGGCAATTTGGATACAATTGGCGTTGACGGCGACTCTGTAGCTCTTTACTCCTATGAGAAAATCCATAAGCAAACGTCAGACTGTGCGTGAAACATGGCGGATTTTGTACTATCCTTTCACTCCACCGAAAGTTCCCATAAGAAACTGTCGATATTTGCTGGAAGAGCAAATTTTTCGACAGTGCCGTCAACGCCAATATGGTGGCACATTGGCAGGTCTATTACTATGCGTGTCTATACTCTTACCGGCATCACAGTGATCAAAATCCAGATCCAGCGGGAACTAAAAAAAAAATAATTGAAAAAAGCGGTAAATTAAACAGTCAATTTGTCCGTTCATGTGTAAATTACTCATTAGAGCGTCTTTATTTTAGATATTCTATTTTGTCTTGGAAGCTGCTGCTAGGGAAGTTGAAAAGCAAAAGCTATGCCATTGATGAGCGACATTGAATCATTCCTGCCGGGAACAGTACCATTTTCACAACATTTGGAGCAACTGGATTGGATTTTCTCCCACCATAATATAACCGATCCGGAAGAAAAGAAAATTACATTCTTGGCATCATGTAACACCGAAGTATATTCCGAGCTGAAGTTACTGTTTCCTGACAGAAGCTTGAAACGCATATCCTTTTCTGAAATCTGTCATGCCTTATGCAGAAGATATGATAAGAGCGAGAGTATCCTGCGTAGGCGATATAAATTCTACCGCCGAGAACAAGGTCCGTCGGAGAGTGCGGAGGATTTTATTCGAGCTGTAAAGCAACTTGCAAAGCGTTGCGAGTTTGGTAGTTTTAAAAATATGGCTGTTCGTGACAAACTCGTGTGCGGGATATTAGACAGAGATTTGCAGAAACGTCTGCTGGAAAAAGGCGATCCTACGCTGAGTGAAATTGAACAGCTCATTCTTGATGAGGACATACTGGGATCGAGGCGCGAATCTATTCGTAACGATGGTGGTGAGCGATATAGACATAAAGCGCATAAAGGAAGCAAAGATCAGTATCATGGAGCCAGCTATAGAAGCGTGAGTCGTGAACGAAGCCGACGGACCAGAAGCCGAAGCCGTTTGGAATCTCCACTTCCCAGGTTGGAGCCTGTAGCGGGAAGAAAGACCATGCGGTGTACTTTTTGTGACAGGGATGGTCACACCATCAAATACTGCTTCAATAGGACAAATAAGAAAAATGCTTTGCGCTGGGAATCGAAACGCTCCTACGCCAACAGTGGCAAAGACTCGTTGTATTAATGGACTTTTAATAGTTTTAGATCAATTAATCCATCTCATTTTACATACAAATGCAATCAGAAATCACTTCTTTTGGACATTCTATAACATCATTTAAACATTCATTGAAATAATAAACAATAGATCATAGAGTAGTTTTTGTTATAATTGTAGGAAACTCTCCCGTTTTTTGTTTTCAATTTTCTATATTTTTCCCTGAAATATTCATTGAAACTGTCCTATATTGCAACCCCACTACGGGACAATGTGATATGTGAATGAATTCAAAAGGAAGTTCTTAATATATAAGCCTTTCTTTTTTATCATTGATTATTTGTGCTTCACAAATTAATTCTTGCAATGAGATTTGAAAATAAATAGAAATTTATAATCATTTTATGAGTAACGGATCACGGTTTCACACTTCTTCAACTAGGCCAATAATTTTTCTAAACGTCCGTCGGAATACATCTTCTTTATGTCGGTTCCACCTCCGACAAAATTGCCGTTAATGAACACTCTGGGTACCTAAAATAGTAATTGCAATTAATAAAATGCAAAGGCATCAACATCGCGCGAAGCAGAGGATTCCAGCAATCGGGATGATTATTACAAACGTGGACTGATAAGAAGTTGTTTCTATTTTTTGCGGCTTCGGAAGTGGTTAAGCTTATCTTTCACTTCACTTTGATTGTGCAGAGTAAAAATATTTAATAAAACTTATTACATATTTACAAACACAAACTTACCGTTCTGCCTCCCGTCATATCACCGAGTATCGATTGCATTTCATCTCCATCATTGCGGTGATCCAGTTCATAGCAGGCAAATGGCTGCTGGAGTTTCTTGAATGGCTAAAAAATGAACACACACATGAAGTTAGTTTTCATATTCAAAAAATAACTATTAACATATATGTTCTAGCACTCCGTCTTTTTAGAAATTACTATGCAAATTTGTTTACAGACCATTTTCCATCGAAATATCAACTATCTGCGGTTGTATGAGTCAAAAAAAAAGCGTAAGCTGATGATTTCTTGGAAACGTTCGATTATGAGTTATGGTGATGAAATCGTTTAAATTCATCAGTATTATTTTTGAGCATTAGAAATTAACTGAGAATAAAATAGAATTATCTACCATAAAAAGTTGGATGATCCTACCTCTTTAGCCATCGTACAGTACGGACAATAACTCTTCGAAAAGATGACGACCTTGTCTTTAGCGATGGCGCTCTTGACGAAATCCGCTACTGGTCCGCTCATATTGGCAGGAGATGATCTACTAACAAATGAACCCATTTTGCGTTTATAAAGGCACTTGTATATGTTTATGTAGAATCTTGGATGTAGAATAGTGAGTCGTTCTTGTATGCGTGTGGGGGAAGGTTAGCGCTCCTTGATGTTGGGTCCTATTCCTACAGGATTGATTTTTTTTATCAATGAAAGTTGAGGTCAGCATTCCCACCCCAACACGGAGTTATTTTTTTACTATAAAACATTAAAGAATATAGGTACCTAATATAATATAACAGGACTTGTAGTAACGTAACACCCGAGGTAACACCCACTGCCAACGCTGTCAACAACTCGGATTGCCGGTGGTTGTAGATGAGCCAAAGCTTTACACCGTCAGCGCAGGGATGCCAGATAGTTTTGCAAAGTGTCTGATCACACCAAATTTTGAAATAGCCCCGACCTGGGTATTGCGGAGACGCAATCGATTTTATTTTGCAACCCGAATAAATTTTTTATGGTTATTTTGTTTGACGACGTGTTCAGGGTATCATTCAATCCATTTGTGGCATATTTCAATCATTTGGGCTATCGTTCTTGTACGGAATTTTTTATTAGGGTACACTCAAAAATATTACTAGACAACGGTAGATTAACGTTTAATTATTTTTCGGTTCTTAATGTTTATACATCAATCTAATTAAATTTCGCTTCAAAATTATACTAAATTCGAATAACGGAACGAAATTCGTTGAGTATACAATTCAAACGTTTCCTGATGTGCATTTTTTCATTTAATCTACCCTCTCAAGTTGGTCTCGTCTGTTCAAGTGAACCAAGTTCATAAAAGATATCCTGCTAAAAAAAATGTCGGTGCTTCGGTTTGTGGTAGATAAGGTTGATGCGGAATAATAATAATAATAAAATAAATAAAAAAAATACTTGAGACTTGTGTCAAGTAATGAAACACTCCATTTGAGTTGAGCTAAATTAGCGTGAAGCATGACAGATGTGAAAGGAAATCCTGACACAGCAAGCAGTGCTGGATGAATGAGGAAAAAAGCGGAAGGTATAAATATGAGCTACCTAAACTTGTTGAAGACATTCTTGTAACGAACTTTGGAAGCGACGGATAGCAGCAGCAGCAGCAGCAGTAACAGCAGCAGCAGCAGTAACACCAATAGTAGCAGCAGCAGTAATGGAAGCGGAGCGGCCGTAGCAGCCGATTAACGGCTAGCTATTTGTTGAGACATACGACCGAGGCTGGAAACCTCGGTCGGGTCACGACAATGGCACAGTCGGTAGATTGTTAGTGTGCAAGCTACAATTCAGTGAAAAAGTAAGTATAGTGGAATAAAATCTACTCTCCGACGGAAGGGCGGAGTAGTAGAAATGTTTCCCGGTAGGCTCCGAAGTGGAGTAGGTCGGGAGATAAGACCGAGTGAAAAAATAAATCCCGTTGGAAGGGCGGTGCATTGGACAACGTCTCCGGTAGGCTCCCTGACAGAATGGGCAGTAGAGTAGGCCGACAGACTATAGAAAAAATTATTGATAAATATGAATATGTCCTCGGTAGGCTCCCTGACGGAAGGGCAGTGGAGTAGACCGGGTGATAAGAAAAACAAAACTAACCCTCTTTATGCAGAGGAGATGATGTCTCCGGTAGGCTCCCTAATAGAGTAAGCAGTGGAGTAGGCCGGTGGACGATAGCAAATCAAACAAGAACAAGAAAATTTCCCCGATTGAAAGAATTGGGAGGTAAAAACACAAACAAACTTTTCATAAGAAGCGCAATGAAAGTAGGCTTCCCGACGGAAGTAGGCTGACACATAGAAACATAGAATGTTGATGGCAATGTAGATGATGGAGTGTGATGATGATAATGATTGTGAAAGCTACGTTGAAATTGATGACAATTTAACATTTAATGTCAAAGATGGAGATGAAGTTTATGGCAATGTTAAAGTGCATAGCGTGCATAGTAGAAGTTAATAGCGTTATTGAAAGTGATCATAATTTTGATGTTGATGGCAAAATTGAAGTTATTTTGATATTGAAGTTTACGATGATATGGAATTTGAGATACATGTTGACGTCGACAGATTAATTGAAAATGGTGCTAATGTTGGAGTTTTGGTGACGTTAAAGTAAAGACACTTAATTTTTTAATATGATGGCAAGGTTAAAGTTGACGGGTTTGTTGATGTGGTCATTTTGACGTTTAAGTAAATGTTAAAGATAGTAAGAATAATGATGATTAAGTTAATAGAAAAAATAGGATGAGGGAATACAAGTGAATGATGGAATTGATCGTGCACACTTAATCTAGCTCGGTAAAATCTCCAACAGCCGATTACCTCGGCATTTACTTTTGCTGATATATCTGCAAAATATATGTTTGTTAGCTAATATCTCAGCAAAATCTTATTTGTTAGCTGAGTCTCGGCAATTGTTTTACTGAACCTCAGCAAAATAAATTGCAGAACTACTCGGCTGTTGGAATCTCGGCGAAAAAATTTAAGTGTGTGAGGGTTCAGTTGTCAATACACAACTCAAACGTGATGATGAGCTGACATGGTGATATTTTCGACTAACTAAAACTCAAAGCTTCTGTAGCTGGAATCTGATAAAGTTGTGGAATTGAAATTGAGCTAAATGTAAAAAAAAAAAAAATTAGAACGGATGAGGAGCTAGTGATTTTTAAAATGATGTTGAAGTTGGTGGTTTTATATAAGTTTATTGCAATATTGAAGTTGTCGAGGAGGTGGAGGGACCATGTTGAATTCGACAGATTTATTAAAAATTGTGCTAAGGTTGATGATTTGCGTCGTTAGAATTGATGGTGATATTTAAGATGACGGTAATGTTGAAAATTACAGTATAGTTTAAGTTTGGAAATGTATGAATTATTGATAATGCTGAATTTAATGGTAATAAAACAAAATAAAAAAAAAATATGGCTATTTTGCTAAACGACGTGTTTGGGGAATCATTCAAACCATTTGTGGAATAGCTCTACCATTGAGTTTATCGTTAATTTATGCTATTTGTTTATTAAGGAAGTGAAAGCCAGAATGGAGCCAAAATCGCATGTGGATTCAATTGTCAATGCGGAACTAAAAGGCAATAGTGAGGTGACATGTTATGATTTTTTTATTAGGAGCAACTAGAAGTCACTGTAGCTGGAATTCGATAAAGTTTTGACATTGGTTTTCAACTTAAAGTAGGAAAAATAAACTTATGAGGAGCCAGCCTGGTGTATAGTGGTGTTGAAAATCATGACTTTATGAAATTGATCGCTATGTTTCAATGGATGAGGATGTGAAAATTGAAATGTATGTTAAAATAGACAGATATATTAAACATTATGATTATATTTAAAATTATGGTATTGTTAATATTGGAATCGATGGCAGAATTGAATTTGATGAAGATTTAAAAGATGTTGGCAATATTTAAATTGTCGGTAATAATGAAGTTGTAATCGGAAAAATTGAATTGTAGTTGACGATGGATGGTTAATGCAAAAGAAGTAATATTGAAGTGAATATTAATATTGCGAATCTTATGAAAAATTTCCATCCGCTATCACAGAGTTCTACTACAGTTGTCAAAGTTCCAGTGTGCTGTATATAAAAAAAAATAAAAACAGGGTTAACTGACATATTTGAAGTATTTTGCTGGCGATTCTCTGAAACTTTGTAAATCTGAAAGATTCGATTAAACATCATTTTATTAAATTTATGTCATGTCTAGAGACGACACGACGAATGATGTGATTTTAGGTTGTAGTTGGAGTCAATGTTGAAAACGATTGGCAATGCTAATGATTTGGGCAAATTGAACTGTATGATGATGTTGAGATTGATGGCATAATGGAAGGTGATAATAATGTTGAAGCTAATGGGATATACAAGCTGACTTTTATATTACATGTAATGGTGATATTAAAGATACTGTTGAAATTTATTATGAACTTGAAGTAGGTGCAATGTTAAAGTTAAAAATAATGATTACATTTATGTGAATGCTGAAATTCATGGATATGTTGACGCTGATTTTTGTGTTGTAGATGACAGCAATGGTACAGTTAATTATAGGTTTGAAGATGATGATGAAACTGAAGTTGATGGTAAGCACTCATATGTTTACGACATGCCATTTTTTATATGATAGTAATAATGATGATGAAGTAATAAGTTGACGATTAAGTTGCATTTGCAGGCAATGTGGAGGATGTTAATTATTGCAAGCTTGAAATGATTGTAAATGTTTATGTACACGGTTATTTTGAACTTGATCTTTATGTAGTAATTCTTTTTTTGTTGAAGTTTATGGCGTTCTGGAAATTGATGATAGTTTTGATAATAATGATGATGGTAATAATGCGTCAATTTAGATCCTGATGCTTATGACTGATACTATTATACTGCTTATACTGAAGATAATGGAAAAGTTGAAACTGATGTCATTGTTCCCTAATAAAAATAACCATAAAAGAGAGCTTAACGACGTGTTCGGGGTATCATCCAAACCATTTGTGGGATAGTTTACCCATCCGGGATACAGTTCGTTTATGGTATTTGTATATTAGGGTTGTAGTTAATGTAGAAATGATGAATTCTATAGCAATAATTGAAAAATATATATATATATATATATATATATATATATATATATATATATATATATATGCTTCAATACTGTTTTGCTTGTGTAGGTTAGCAAAAACAAAATGAGTTTGCATGTGTACTCTACACAGAAAAAAAATTGTTGAATATTACATCCAAACTGCTGCAACCAGGTCAATCAATCGGTTGTGTAATATAACGTTGTACGTTGTATATCGATTTTGCGAACAAAATTACATCCATTGATGTAATATTGTATCTGCTTTTTGCTATTACATCATTATTTCATACATCAGCTTGAATTAAATTGATCGAAATTACATTTTTTTGCTGTATAGAGTACAGGAGGGAAAGAATGTGGTAGATAAGGTTGATGCGGAATAATAATAATAATAAAATAAATAAAAAAAATACTTGAGACTTGTGTCAAGTAATGAAACACTCCATTTGAGTTGAGCTAAATTAGCGTGA